AATCATTAATTGTCAAATTACGATTGATAAAAATGGATTATTTTTTTATTACATTCTTCGGATATCGCCATATGAAAAGTTATTAGATTCCTCTCGCTCGTAATGATACTTGGCGTGAGCCATATTTCGACTCGCAGTTTATAGAGACTCGCTTTGAAAGTAAAATTCGGAGTATAGGAGCCGTAAGTCTTTTATGGCATATATTGTGCGAGTCAAGGAGAATTTCTCCCTTGCCACGGCCCTCTTTCGATCTGCACGATCGTCGTTTTCTCAGGAAATCAGAAAAAGATTACTTATGCTATCCTTAGCTCGAAGTGCGCTTTCAGCAAGAGCACCTGAGAGAGAGTCGCAATTCCGAAACACTAAAAGGGATATATTATATATAAAAGAGCATAAGAGGTCACATTACTACTTTGACACGCATAACTCTTGCTCCCTTTGATTTAGAATTATTTTTCTTCGCATTGCCGCTCGTATATTTTTTATGCTTCTCGCGAACTTCCGCCTGTAACCTTTCTACTACATCTTTGAAATACTGACTTGCTACGTAATGTATGTCAGGAACGTAGATGAAAGAACATACCTTACCCTGTTTCTCACCTTCGCATACGATACCCATAAGATATTACATTTAAAAATGCAGATATGCCCAAATACTCTGAAATCAATTTCAGAGTAGAATTTTCGAGAATAGAATTTTCACGTGAATCTTAAATCTGACGATTTGCGAATCGTAAAAATTCAAATTCCCCAAAATTGGCGAAATATTAAAGGAATATAATTAAATGAGATGACATGTTAGAACTTTAAGCATTGTTATTTAAAAAGTACTGCTTTATATGTTATTTTCTTTGGTTTGATATTGTAAACAAGATGATCTAAAAAAGGCAAGATATTTAATGATAATAAAATATTTTATTCAAACACTCGGACACAATTTGATGTAAGAAAAGTTTCTTAATACAAGTTAATATTTTAATTAAAACTTGCTAATGACAATTATTCTTATATTTTTAAAAAATTATATAAACACTTTCGTATAAATACATGAAATTTGAGACGAGATCTTGTACGGAAATTTGAGACGAGATCTTGTACGGAAATCTCGAAACTTACGATTGTATGTCAGAAACATTATTTTAAATTTAACATTTGTACTTTTTTATTTTAAAGTCTGTATTTTCAAATGCATATTACACATACATCCCCCTTTCTAGGAAACTTTTATTCTTTTTCCCGATGTCTGCTTCTTCCACGAGAGTTGAAATTGATTGTCCCGATATCCTCTTTAAATCTCCTCCACATTTTTTATTGAGAATTTACTCCAGCAATAATTCGAGCAGCTTAAATACGACCAGAAGGAAGAAGAAGGTTTCGTGGATCTTTTTCTTTCATGCTACGAAATTGTTTCCGACGCGAGCGGAAAATCCACAACGCGACGAAGTAAAAAGCTTACGCGTATGCAAATTTGTCGGTATGTTTTTATCTTAGCGTTTCCATTTCGTATAAACTTTATTCTTTTCTGTATTTTTGTTTTGTTTCTCTCGGTATTCTGGCGTTCAGCATTTTTTCTTCTTTCCGACAATTGCGTGCATATTTATATAATACCAATATTAGCGTAATGTTATATAATATCGATAATATTACGTAATATATAATACCAATATCATTAGCGTAATACTATATAATATCAATAATATTACGTATGACATACGTAATGCAATAATATATCACGTAATATTTTACTGATCTGATTTAATTTTATTATGCAGTTTTTATTTTGTTCGTATCATCTCAACAATGTATTAAAAAAATCATCACGATAACACATCAAGGGAAAACATTCTTGCAAGATGTAAAAATTTGCATGAATTAACGTGGTCTCTATTTCTATGCTATATCGATTCATATCGCACGAGAAATTGCAATCTTGTATCCTGCAATCTTGCAGTCTTCAAGGAAGTGCAATTTTTATGTGAAGAACGCTCGAGGATCTCTCGCGCCTTCAATCTTTACTTTTCTTCGATTTTACACGAATACATTTCTTGTCGTAAAAAATGTGGAATCGTGTCGTACACAGAAAAAAAATTAGTCTTAAATCAAGATGAATATTCTTATATATTAGCAAGAATATTATAATCTTCATATGGAAGATTTTTTTGTTTTGAATTAAGCAAAAGTAATACAATACAAATTCAGTCAAATCAACACTAAAATTTTTAAGAAAATTATAACATTCTTACTTATATGAGAATATGATAGTATTTGTCTTGATTTAAAACTGATTTTTGTTTGTGTAGTCAAGCAACGTGAAACAGCTACGATAGATCCCTGTTGCATCCGGCCAGAAACAGACACCGAGGTTTCTGAAACAGGGGTGCGATGTCCTCCATTTTTTATCATAATGTTACGTAATATAACATGACATTAATTTTATCGTTTAAATATGACATATCAGTTTAGCTACAGTTCTAAATGCATTTCCTCGTGGCGCCAAGTTATAATACTTTGCACTTGGTAATCGCGAATTCTCTAACTTTTTACACGCTTTGATCGCTCGACAACTCACAAGATGCGAAAAATTTAGTTAGTTTTGAAATTTAAGTCTGATCTATTTTTTTGATGGGGGAGGGGGAGATTAACTCGATTTTTCCGAAGCGAGATTCAAACGCGTTTCAAACGCGATGTGCAAGATCGCAAGTTTCCGTTACTTGCGTCACACTCCCCCACAGGTCAGAACTTCAGACGGGATGGGATACTTAGGTGTACCTTGACCTCGACCTTGAAGCCATGAAATGCAGGAGAGTGGTTTGCTCCGTCGCACCATTCCCGACATTCCCGCTTTATGCGGTTACGCGTTACGCGGCAACGTGCACTTGGTTGTTGCTCTCGTCTTTCTTCCAGCCTTCATCCCCAGCCTTCTCCGTTGTTTGCCTTGAGATCCGCGCGTTCCGTCCTTGTCTCGCACCGCCGTTCATCATGGATTCTTCTCGTGCTACCTCTATCTCTCCGTCGTTTCTGCTTATGGAAAGGTTTTTGGATCAATTGCCTAAATCGAAGATCTAACTCGGCAGATAAACGTGTTTATTCGGACTTGCTTTATATCCGCGGTGCGGTTTTCCTGAGCGTGAAAGACTTTTTAAAAATAGGAGAAGAATGTTGTGATGTGAAATGAAATCTATGAGATGATATTACTTTTACGAGTCCACATACGCGGTGCAATTAATGTCCCGGATGGAAAGGTTTTCTTGGTGATATGAGATAGTTCGTGATGGCGCATTTAATCGAGGTGTAGTTTTCACCATTTGCGAGCGAAGAAGAATGCGTCCTTGGGATAGAACGGCTGGCATGTCTGGTCCGCCATTCGTTTCTTCAATATAAAAAGTAAGACGGCGAAGGAGCTTGATAGAAGAAACCGGCTGCCCTTGTCCTTACCACGCGCTTGGCTTTCAGACGTTCTCTCTCGGCGAGTGATTTTGCGACCGATATAAATTTACGTGTATATTTTCTCGATGAATAAATCACACAATTTGGAAACATATGAAAAATACGAAGCAAAGCGCAAGAATATAAAAAAATTGCGATGGTTTTTTGAATCATCAATGCGCGCAAATGATTGATTTATACAGACAGAAATAAATTACGGCGTCACTTTTGGAGTTTCAGTGAACCGACGCATTCCGATAAATCACCAATCGCGATTTACATGCATTTATTATAAAAACTCACATCATGTATAAAAATTCAGGTTATCTCTTTGCACCGCGTCATGCGTATTTTTGCAAAACGTTCAGAGTAAAATCGTTTAAATTGATGAAAAAAAAAAAAGGGGGAAAAAGTTTAATCTCTTTCTTGAAATCTGCGAATAACGAACATACCGTGCGAAATTTATTCCAAATATTATTGTACGTTGCTTTATTTTTCTCTCTTCTTCAGAGAATAACAATTAACGCGATTAAAAAAACTTATAGATGACGACGGTCTGGCAGTAATTTGCATGAAATTTTACGCTCATTGATTCAAGCTCGTTAATTAAACGGTCGGCTGAGACTCGACCGTTTCTAGGACAAACAAATGCCATATGGAGACGGCGTGTGTGAAGTGGTAAAACAATTTCATAGCAATTCGAAGTTACCAAATGGACGGTACCCGTGATTCCCCATCTCTCCGTATCTCCGAATTCAACAGGTTGCAGCTGGTGGCTGGAGGAACGCCTCCTCCTCATTCTTCTTTTGCTCGCCCTTGCCTTCATTCCTTCCTTCCTTCCTTCCTTCCTGCCTGCCTGCCTGCCTGCCTGCCTGCCTGCCTGCCTGCCTGTCTGCCTGTCCTCCATCGTTCCTTTTCCTCGTTTCAATTAAGTGGTCTGCGACGCGTACTTCTCCGCTACTTCTTTCAGCCGCCAGCGACACGCCTCGATCGCACGTTAATTGCGAGCGTTAATTGTGCGATTGCGAGCTACGTTTGTATCTCGCGAAACGATCGCGTACACACGTGAGCACCCACCCGCGGAAAGGTATAAACAACCTCGTAACGTCTGTACCCGTCCGTTGTATGCAAGTTCATTAACTGTGAATTTTTCCGACCGATAATACCCCACGATCCTTTTTACGAAGAATTAAGCTCGAGCAACCATCGAGCTCGGCGGCCGCCAGTAAATTTCTTGCGTACAACTCGCGGTCGCGGAACCGGCCGGAAGAATGATGGAAGCGAAGGAGGGATGGTGTAAAACGAAAGAAATCGGATTGCGCTTCCTGCCAACCCGCAACAGACCGTGATGGTCAGATCTAAGCCGGCCCGCGGTGCGTCGCGCGCGGTCGTCCATCACGACTTTATCTACTCGCCCCCTTTCAGCGTCCGCATCTCTCACGTAATTATCCGAGAAGATTTATTGGACGTAGCTTTCAACTTTGAAACTTTAAAAACAATTTTGAGGAGAAATGCGAGTCGGGGTTAAGCGCCGTTGTTATCTAGACGTTAACTGTTTGTTTCTTCCGTTGCAGGTAAGAATTCCAGACCTTTCGAATTTTCGTCCGTTCCCCACAGCACCGTTCCCGGTGGTAAGTTTAACTCACATCGTATACAACTCACACTCACGCAAACACAATGAAATGTTACCATTCCGAACGTTATTATTCCATTCGTATTTGTACACATTTATATAAATTAACAATATTTGCGTATAACAAAATCACAAACACGCAGTACATATTTGATTTATTGCGGAATAGCGGAATAGCCAAGCGGTTGTTTCAAAATCGTTGTCAACAATTAAATCAGCGATCGGTTGAAAAGTCCTTAGGACTGGTTCGAAATTTTTAAGAACGTTTATCGAGCCTGCAAATTTTATCGCGCCTCCATTTTCACTCGTGTGACAACGAAACAAACGTGCCTTCGCTCGACTACGTGACTGTTTTATTGCTGCGTTACGACATTTATTTTATTGTTCTTTCATATGAATCTGTCTCGTTCGTAGCGTCAACTACGGAGAGGAAACGACCGACTAGTCGAACTTCAAATAAATAGTGCTTCCGCAATCGTAAAAGTGCGAGGAAACAGAAAGCACTTGGCGACGCGATAAATATAATCTTTTTCTCTTATCTCTATTTCAGTATTTAGTGGCTGAAACAAAACGCGTTTTTCCTCCTGTATGAATTTCAGAATAGGGATATTTCGAGCAAATTATTTGTGCAAAAATAAAAATTCAGAATTTCCATTCGCATTGTTTATAACTAAAAAAATATCACATTTTATTAATCGTGGCATTGTAGGTGTACAGTAAGATTCTCTCTCTCTCTCT